GTTTTTGGCGCTCACTGCTTGAATACCGCGAAAAGAATTCTTTCTTAAATTATTGGCTTCTGATTAGATATGATAAGATAATATTTATTTTATACTTAATTCGCAATTGAAAAATTTAAGTTTTGACAAACCAGGCTGTTTTCGGATTTTTCTTCCAATGTGATGATAAATACGACAATCTCATATCTCAAGGTCCAATAAAAAGAGCATAAAGTAAACTAAGAATACTCAATATATGCTGCTGATTACAAGGGATTATGAAGTAATCGAAAATCCAAAATGGCTTCCTCTACAACAACGTGCGTGGATTCTTCCAGTGACGTCACTTGGCGAATACAATGGATTCCATGGTTACGGGAATTACCCAAAACGATTGGCTGAGAAGCGTTATCCGAAAAATTGCTCAGGAGTTGATTTTGCTGCGTACTTCATTTGGTGTTTCTTGAGGGTACTGGAGAGTGTTTTCAGTGTTGAGGATATACTAGATGTTGACAGTGTTGATTGTATATATGTTGACGGTGTTGAGGATGTAGATGTTGACGGTRTTGGGCGTGAAGATGATGATGGTGTTGAAGCAGAAAATACTGATGACACRTGGCTCGTGAAGCGTGTTGGTGGTATGGTTGCGGAGGATGATGATGGATCTGATGATGGATCTGTGCCATGCATGTAAAGCCTTCTTTAGGATTGACCTCATGCGGTTCATTAGACGGTCTTGTGCGGATCAAAGCTATCCTGATGATTTTGTTTTGTTAACTCCGGTAAGACCTGTTCAGATGCGAATCCTAAACAGACCGAGAAAACGAGCTAGAAAATTCAACAGATACCTAGCAAGGAGAAGAACCTATATTGAACACGTGTTTAAGGACATAAAGTCTTACAAGGCAATAGGGAGTAGTTGGAGACACCCCAGATGGTTAATGCCTGTCTGCATTGAATTGGTTGCCTTCTTGGCAGAGAGACGCGTAAGACTTTTTGAGAACATTTAAGATCCATCATTTTAAAACTGTATCGCTATCAGAAAGAGTGGGCCGGTGACTAGATACAGTGTCTGGCCCAGTATCCTGCCGGCACCAGTATCCTGCCAAAAAATTCAATTCAACTTAAAATATCTCGTCGGCTTTATTTTTCTACCTCATACGAAGCTATTCGATGGTTAGCCTAACACTTCCGGTTTCCAAAGACAGTTTTGGCGGGCTTTTTGGTCAACGCATTCGGGAACAAGGAGAAGAGAAGAACAGGTAGGTAAACTTTCTCATGCCTAAAATTAGGCTTTTTACTGCGCAGTGAAACTACCAATGATTATACTCAAAACATGCGAAATGCGACTGGGATCGCTATGATCTTTCATATGATGAAAGAATGATGATAAAAACATTCATAAACTGAGCCAAAGGTCCATTAAATAAGTTTTCGTTTGAATGCAAGGACAAAGTTTAGGCTTGGGGGACCCTTTTTCCTGCTAGTTTATCGTTCGACTTCTTCTTTGTCATATAAATTGAATAAAAATCTGTGTTCATTTGCCTAGGAGGTTCTTAAAGCTATGTACTGATATTGATAAAGCAGTAGAAGGGCTGTTGCTTTGGCTGTTTTAGTTCTTCAATTCAACAACCGACGAGCAGGAGATGAATAAGTTAAAACACGCTTATGGTCCAACTGGAGTCACCATACACGTCACGTGCATGAACCTTTATACCCGTTAAAGTCCTCTTCATTGGTATTCAAGACACATGTGATCTTTATATAAAGATCACTCGAATACTATGAGGATGACGTCATCAGGGATGAAGTATACATCCAAGTTTACATGAAGACATAGAGCTTCGCCAAGGTCATAGTCAAACCTAATGATCTTTGACTAACGTGCCTGTCTTTGCCTTGGCACGCAATATCCAACGTGTGGGAGCTTCTATTGAATCTGGTTGCGCATGCCCGTGACGTCAAATCTCCATCGAAGTATAAAAATCCATGTTCGTGACGTGTATGGTGRCTCCAGTTGAACCAAAATCTTATAAATTGTTCATGAGTGTTTTAAGCAGTTCAAAAAACTCGTAGATCATGTTTTATCAGGTATAAAAGCACTCAGCTACGCCTCGTGCTTTTATACCTGATAAAACACTCCTACTCGTTTTTTAAACACTACATAGAAACACAATAAGCTAGGTGCTTGATAAGTCAAATGTCATTCTCATCGTTTTGTAAATGAACTCAACAGCAAAATATATTATTAATAAGTTTCGACGTTTATGCGTTAATAAGCTTTATRTTTCATAAACAGGCTCTTTTGGGGCTTATTGATTAACAAAATACCAAAATTTGGGGAAATTTAAGGAATGCGTATTTGAGATACAACGCCCTGAACGTTGGGAGAGATGATATTTTGATCAGCACAAGTAGAATTGCACAAGTAGAATTGTGAAAAGTTTCAAGCACAAGAGACACGAATGAAACACTAAACGTTTTTGAGCATGAATGAGAGATAAAGAAAGAAATTGCGAAAGTAGCAGCCTCTTCGCTTTTCTGCTCTGTCTAGGAATGATGCTTTTAAAAGTTTTTAAATAAAACGAAATTAAATAATGAACATAAATTTTGCGTCAGTAAACTGGTTAAGTTTCTTTAAGAAACGTTGACTAAGGTGTTCGTAGTCTGTACAATAGTGAAGTTTAATGAACACTTTCTTCCTTTCATCAAAAAGATAGTCTGGAATTATCTTTTCTTCCTCGCCTTGTTTCTGTAGAAATAAATGCGGAAGAATGTCGACCATAGGGAACTTTATACGATAACAAAGGCGCGCGCAAAAAATGTTCGAGTGCCTTTTTTATCGATTTTTTTAACTCGTGGATACGCGAAGCGTAGAAACGAGTTATTGTGAGGAATCTGAATATTCAAATATGTCACTCGCTCACTCACTCACTCACTAAGATGTTACAATAGCAGATCGATATTTAAACAATGGCCAATCGTCTTACATCATGTGATTACGAACGTTASACGACACTGACAAGTACGAAACTCTTATACAATATAGACTACATTGGTTATTTATATAAGGAAATGAAATGCTGATGAAACATGTTGGACTGAGCACTGTCGACCCACTGAGTATGCGCACACTCGCACACAGTTTTCTCTTCGAAATATTTATATTTTAAGAATCAAGGAAAGATGCAAAGTTGATGTAAAAATATAAAATTAACCCTGAACTAAAATTTTAATGAGTTAAACCTTTTTTTGTTGATGTATTGAAGTGAACAGGAACGCTTATTTACAATCGTCAAGATATTTAGATTTTTTTCATAAGACTCGTGGGTCGACCTGGATGCATCGAAAAAAGCACTTTTCATTAGAATTCAAAACGAGATTCAGATTTTAAGCTTTGGAGGAATTTCTTCTCGATAGAGAAAGGTCAAAGTCACGGCGGTAATCAGCAAAAAATCTTATAAACTCGATCGAGCGACSTTTAATAAAAACTTCTTAAGTATTAAATCAATGAGTAGTTAGTAGAAAAATTAGGAAAAGACGAAATTTGGAACATTCCGATGGAGTCTTGAAGAACATTCAGGCAGTTTTGTCATCCAAATAAGCCGTTCGGAATATTAAAAAAAGTAGATTGGTCGCCGAAGCAATGTTCTTGTATGTTAATCCAAGTAAGGTTAGCACGTACCACCTACATCTGGTGGCCCGCATCTCCTGGCCCCACACGCATCTGGTGGCCCCTTGGCCATAACGCCTTAACGAAGCATGTTATGGTAATGAAACTTGGTAGCTTTGGTGAGACTTGTGTTGTCAATCATCAGACCACGTGATATGTGACGTCATACACCCAACATCGTTGGGGTGACTGACAGGGCACGTGACTCCATCCCTGCCAAGTTGCGTAATCACAGCGTATTGCCGCGAAGAAACTGGGACAGGGGCCACCAGAGGTGGGGCCATCAGACGTTTGGCACGATGGGGTAACCACAGGTGCGTAAAAATACGACATAGGAAATGTTCAATTTCTGTCTTTTGTCTTCGTAAGTGGTGTTGTGGACGGTTTATCGTCATGGTTTAGCTAGAAAACGCTACTATAGGTCACGTCACCTGTGACGTCACGTTGCCGGGGGGGTTGGATGCCATCGGCGTTGGCATAGAAAGACCTTGGTAGTGCAATTACGTCAAACAAAAGGTTTATTTCAAAAACTAGCGATAATGTTATCTTAGCAAGTYACGTAATATGTGACGTCATACACCCAAAATCCTTGGGGTGATTGACAGGGCACGTGACTCCATCCCTGCCAAGTTGCGTAATCACAGCTTGTATTGCGCGCGGAGAAACTGGGACAGGGGCTACCAGAGGTGTGGGGCCACCAGACGTTGTTGGAACGTGTCAACCCCTTCTCCCATTTTCAGCCCTCTTGAGCGTCTCTTGCTTGGGTTTCGGTCGAACTCTTCTGTAGCCGTTTTCTCAAAGAAAATAAAATAAAATTTTCGAAAACCAACCACCCGCATGGATTCATATCTAATAATGGCCTATCTAACTTCGAAAGAAGAGCGAATTTGATTTTTTGATCCTTGCCACGAATTCTTCTTGCTCGAATAACAATCAAACATTGCCCCTTAATCTGCCTTATGACAGCCAACGGGCATTATATTGGTTTCAAGCCGTTTCAAGACGAATTTTTTCTTTGAATTTTGCCCTTTATGATAAATGGATAATCGGATGGTTTTCAAAGTTTTGAAGTTGCCCGAGTCGCTTTGCTTCGCGACCACATACTGATRGATAGTTTTGGATAGCCATGCATGGATACTGGTGGATACCTATATTTATGACAGGGATAGACATGGATACTCGTGGAGACTAATGTTAAACAGTTTACAACAATGGATACTGACTGTTACACATGATCTAAAGAAGGTGATATATGGCATACTAATATGGAGTATTTTTATTATTCATGAGTTTCCGCGGTATAAACTGGAGGTGAGAGGCTGCTAAGCAGTGACGTCACTGTTGTAAATCAGTTGGTGGATAGTTCTTGGTAGAGGAATGTATTTTTGGATTTTACTGTTTCTAGTCTAAATAATTCACATTTACGTCCATTGGACCCTCATTGGAAGTGTTAGTTAATAGATCTTTATATYGATGAAATGTAAATCGGCGTGGATAAGAATTACGCAACGAATTTTGTACCTTGATGCAGACTTTCTGTCTGTTAGCCTAAAAGTTGTATCAGATTCTCTTTATTTGCAAAATTATGAATGTGTAGACAATTGTTCGTCTTAATCGAACTCGAACGAAGCAGGAATATAACACTGGGAGTCTTAAGTATCTCAAGAAAGTTTTTTTCTACTGGAGCCCATATACTGAGAGCGTAAGTGGTAAAAGTGCAGATCACCTTGACTCCCTTGAGSGCGAAGTGATTCCTGGCGACTGGTCTGCGACATGAGTTCGTCGACCACTGACTCCTCGCTTCAAGTCACCTCATCCAAAACAGGTACCGTATTTTAACCATACTTTGCGCCAACAAAGCTTTGCTCTAAGCAAGAGATAAGGATCGCTATCGCTTCAGTCTAAGTTTAACTGAGATTTAGAGATATAAGCTAAAATTTGGCCTATATTCATGTCTTAAAGACTTATAAAAAATGTAGGATCACTACTTTTATGTTTTGTATCACATTCGTATTCTTTCAAGTTTGATTGGTTTTATAGAAAAACTTAAGTTTTAACTGAAAATAGTAATTTTAGTAAAATAGTTTACATGAAAAGTGCTATCAAAATGTAATAGTTAAGGTGCCAAGTTGGCTTTAAGTTATGTTTTATTCTATCATGAATGCGACCAACCGAAAATTTGCCTCTTATAAGTTTTATTCTCAATGCAATTTTAATCCAATCCGTGAGGTTCTTAGAGACACTTCATTCAGTACCATAAGTTGTTTGGTTCCAAAATATTTATTGTAATGTTAGCGATGCAAGTTATGTGTAAAGTCTCAAGCTTTAATATATTAACCTGTACAGATTCGAAGCCAATAAGTTATACCAGTTGTTCTATCATGGTGTCAAAATCATTCTTTTGTAATGTGACTGGAAAACAGATATCCAATTTCTTTCTCTTTTTAAAACAGATGATGGACCACGAAGAAAATTGCGTTTTACAATTATACATAGCTAATATAAGGTTATGGTTATGAGTTCACCAACGAGAGAATAACCCACATTTGATTTTTAGCAAGAGAAAGAAATAGGCTTATGGAAATATTTCAGTTGAAGTARCATGAGCAGGAAAAGTGTCTCTTAGCCGTTGCCGTTACTGTCATTCGGCTTTTTATCAAAGAAAAACAGCCTTACGTACAAAAAAAAGAGAGATTTTTTTACGTTTTATTATATCTCATTATTTAATATTTGAATGAGTCTGTTAACGCCTTAACTGTCTCATCGATCTACTCTCATCTTCACATTGTGTGTATAAACTTAATACTTAAACTTATTTGGTACGTTTATCTCAAAAAGTTTATTACTTGTTTTCTTCTCACAGAGGCATGTTGTATGGCATTCACACCTCAAAGCTGCCCTACAAAGGTAAGCTTAGCAACTAATAATTAYATGGCATTTCCTTTTGAACTTTGCATTTGTTGCAAGTATGCCAATGGGGCACATGGAGCTTTAGGAATTTACAATCCCTGTTCCTAAAAGATCATCATTTGGTGGTGCAACTTATTGAACCTTGTTTAAATCTTGTAGGTTCAAGTYTTTGCCCATTGTTTTCCAATCTATAAAAACTGAAAATATGATTTTCTTTGTTGCTGGTCTTTAGTTGATGATAAATGCGTAAGCTCTAAAGGACCTTTGATTTATTTACACAACTCTCTTTGCATTGGACTAATTATCATAAATGTGGTTAGGACATATTTAATATTCACAGAAATGCTTGATGTTTCCTTTTTTTGACAAATTTCTATTTTTGTGTTAAAAGCAACAGCCTAAAACTTGCAAAATAAATTTGTCTTGGGTGCTCATGGTTATTGTTGTGTCTTACATTAAAGCTTGTTATATTTGTAAATACAAATAGCATGCCATTCCATGCTTCTAAATTTGCTTTTTAATGTTGGACAYTGGCCATATTAGATTAAAAGGATCAATTAAAACATGGTTATTAGCAGTATTAAGTAGTGTCAGAACAATAAGGAGAGATGATGAACATTTTTTTGTGAATTTAACAAGATTATGGTTTAAAGTACTGTAGTGTTGGTGTGTTGACTTGAAAGTTATTAAATTGTTTAAAATTTATATAGCTTTTTGATCTACAGTTTATGAGAATTTTTCCGACCCACTTTTGGATTTTATACTGCATTATTTTTGTTTTGTTTAGAGTTGCCAGAAGTTACCTCCTCAATAAAATTCTTTTTCACAACTATCGTGTGTTGAGTAGGTTAGAGCTTAACAATTTTGTAATTATTTCCTAACCTTAAAAAAGTAAAAAAGAATATTGAAGAATTGAGGTGAATATAAAGATCAATTACTTGATCAATATTTGATCTAGCAGTATTAATTAACCTTTAGAATGAATTTTAAATTAAAAAAGTTTATAATAAACTTAATAATAACATACATGAAAAATTTACTCACTTCTGATTTGCTTAAAGYGGTGTTGTTCAATCAAAATAGTGAAATTCAGTGCTGAAAAATGTACAACAAATGTGCAGAAAAGTGTAACACAGTGCAAATTATAAATGGAATTATCACTTTTGATTGGATAATAAACAATGAAAATGATTCTAGCCWATAAGATGGCAGATTATTGTGACAAAAAATGTGAAGAAAATTAGAAGCAAATCTTGGGGGAAAATGGCAGCTATTTTATCTTAGGTAAAAGTAAGCAAAGATTTTACGAATTTTACTATCAAACAACAAAAAAAAACAGTTAAAAAAGAAAACAAGTGAAAGTACATCGTTATGGCTGAATATATGGAAAAAATAGTAAGAACAAAACAAACTATAACATAAATTTAGGGAAAATACAGCTAGTGAAACAGAAATYGCCCATTTTGTGCAGATTTCTTGGAGAAGAAAATGTAGTAGAGAAACTTTCAGTAATTATTGTGAGCTGTCAATCAAAAACCATGTCTTTACCGTCCAAATAGAGTATAGGTTTTCAGCCAATCAGAGTGTGCGTACTATAAGCTATATCATAAAAAATCAGTGTATTTTTCGCGACAAATTTGTTTCAAATGGTCGAACTGACCACACTCTCCAGGTGAACACACTACATGACCGTTGGTTCAMTTAAGGTTTACATTAAATACAATTTTTAATTTAAACGACACTTAGTATAAGGTTACACATGTTTATGACAAATCTGTTATTACATACTTGACAATTCAAGTTACATTATTATAAAATGTGAGTAAATATTTGCGCTTGTGTCTACATGCAGAAACAAGTTCATTTCATTTGTTGAGGAAAGTGTTCTTAGGTTGGCAGATTATGATATATTTTTCATTTATATATAATTACAACGTTTGTTTTAATTACTATATGATTTTGCTTCATTAAGATTGACCATGTTAACTTGTACTCCATTCTACTTCCTTCTAAAGGGCCACTTGGACGAAAATCACTCCAAAATTAAAACTCTTTCGTTTGAGCTGGAACTTTGCTAAAATAATCTTGAATACACTAAGAACCACTCACTGAAATATCTTTCTGATATTCTAAAGGAAAGGGCCAAAATTTTATGATTTATTTTTATGTGCAATTATTTCTTTGAATCACAGAATTCGGCTCMAGAGGAATGGCACGAGTGGCACGGAATGGCTGAAAATATATAATGTTTCACTTCATTCCTTAACTACTATATGACCAAACAAAGTCTAGGCGCTGAAATTTTTCAGTTTCAATAATACTGACGATCATAATTCAAAAATTTCAATACATCTTGGCACACCAAGAATCACAACAAAGTGGACGCCTGGACGAGATTCTAGCGGCTCCATCGCGCAAAGTGACTGGAAGATTCTGGATTTATTTGAACCATTTTAAGAATAACAACTTTTCAAGGTATATTTACATACAAGGRCAAAGAGCAACCCCACAATTTGGGTTTGCGAGACATCTGACACAATGCTAGAAAAATCTACAAGCGGAGTGACAGACGCTGCTGTCGCGCAAGTAATAAATAAGAAACCTTTGACATGTTCTTTTACAAAGATGATATTAGATAATCGTATGTTTGTACCTATTAAATGCATAATAAACATTTTGGAGCAAATAACAACCGTTCTGTAGCAAAATCAGCTAGGAGAATTACGAGCTCACATTCTAAATTAATCGACACATAGATSTAAGTAATTGTCACAAATCTTTATATCACAACTCAGAATTCAAAAGGCAATCGTTTATTTTTCTTAACATGATCAATAGTTGTTAGATTGAAACTTCAAATTTAAGATCTTTATATCATGGACAGTATGTAGCAAATACAAATAATGAAATGAAAGTAAGGAATTCTTATGAAAACCTCTTTGCAAGCATTGCTTCTACTTCTAGTTTGCCTTTATCTTCTCTTTTATACACAATAACTATCATTTGAAAAGGTATCAAAGATTTAAAAAAAGTCTGTTTAGATTATTCTTTTCACGACGCGTTTGAAACATCAAATAAACTTCAGGTAATTTAACAAGAAATGTATAGTCAAAACGACGCTAACATGACGGTGTTGAGTAAATGACGTCACAATATAAAACTGCTGTACATAATAACTCATTGGCCGTGAGTCAAAAAATTAATGGCGGACGAAAATAAATCGTAAAATTTTGGCCCTTTCCTTTCGAATATCAGAAAGATATTTCAGTGAGTGGTTCTTAATGTATTCAAGATTATTTCAGCAAAGTTCAAGCTCTAATGAAAGAGTTTTAATTTTGGAGCGATTTTCGTCCAAGTGGCCCTTTAAGTTCCAGATGTATCTTGAGAGTTCAGTTGTGTTTTTTTGTTCCATGTTTCTGAAAGATGATTTGTGATTTCTGAATCGGGTTTTAAATTCAGTTTCTGTTAGTCCTATGTAGGTTTCTGTCTTGCTATCTGTGGTTACTGTGCTCGGCATTCACCTCTGAGTGGACAATTGACTTTATTTCTGCAGTTGCATGGAGGGATAGCTTCATTATGTTCATTAGAAAGGGTATCTGACATGGTGCAGCAAAAAAATCGAAATTGTGCAGAATTTTCGACTGAATTATRCGGCAAAGATGACTAATTTTGCGACAAAAATGGCTGATTATGCTACAAATTATGCAAATTTTTCTCATGTTTTTTTTTGTATACTTCAATAAGTTTTATGGCTAAAAACATTCTATTTGCATTGTTAAGGCATTAGGATACCTTTTGATTGTAAATGTGTCTGATTGTAAATGCTTTTCAACCACTTACRCAAATGATCAACGACTATGTTACAGGACGAACAAAACATTAAGTTATCATTAACAAAGAAGGTGCCTTTGGGATATTTGTTTGCTCTCTCTTTAAATATTATATTTAATGGAAGGTCTGATCTTTTAGGCTTCTCTGACTTAGTTTAGCTGCCAGAGCTGAAAAGTGAAAAAACTACATGGTGATTTCATTCATTTCATTCATTCAAGTTCTTGCAAAATGTGTTTAAAATATACTTATTTGCACAATTTTTTGGATTTGTTTATTGTACTTAAGGTCTTCAGTAGCAAGAAGGACTGAAAATGCATATGTCTGCTGTCAATATATGTCAGCAATGCTGATTGGATCATTCAAACCAATAGCAAATCACTTAGTGCAAAACTAGCGCCAGTCCCGTTGCTCTGCATTGCAAGTGACACCTTGCAGATGTGAAGAAATCAACCGAGTCTCCCTTGTTTTTGTGAAGTTTTCAATTAGAAGATATAACTAGCTAAARACTAGTGTGAGCTGTGTCAGTGTTTCTAATGAAACAGTAATGATAAAAAGGTAAATTATACACTGAAAAGATGAAAAAASTTACTGGCGTTTCAGACGCTAATCTTTCGTCGGAGTAAAAGAGCAACTTTCATCTTTTCATGAAGTTTTCAATTGTTTATTTGCATCAAACTGGTTACTTCATTTTTTAAAGAWAATTAGCAATGTTTTACTTTATTTTCGTAAACATATGCATTTTTGGGGGGTAAATTATACAATTTTTGGAAAGTTATGCAATTTTTGCTGATCGTGCGATTTGGTGCGATTTTGGGTCAATTGTGCGAAATTGCACCATTGCACCATGTCAGATACCCTGAATAGAGTGTTGTTTAATGATTTGTTTGATTTGTTTGTTTGATGATTTGTTTATATATATATTTGATGATTATGATATTTATGTAGCGATCTATTCCATATGGATATTTTCAAAGGCGCTTTACAAATGATTTATGAATGAGAGATGGTTAGATTGAGGTGTAGCCTGCACTGAGGCATTGGATGTCCGTCCAATGTTGGTCTGGCTGGGACTTGAACCA